CCCCAAAACCCCAAAACCCCTTAAAGTATAAATAGAAATTTAAGTACAATATTAATAATCAATAATTTCAAATTTATATACACATGTAAAGTTAATTGGCAAATTATAAGTTTGTGAGACTTGCTGAGGAAACTAAGTTGCAGCAGAGGGATATTAGAGTAGCTAAGTCAATCATAGATAGCATTGAATAGATTTAAACTGAACAACATACAATAAACAGATGGGTCTTTGAACTTTTGTAAAATGCTGTAGATTCTTGCTGTCCTGACAGAAAACTCTTGGTAAAATTTAGGTTGACAAAAAACTATCTTGAGTTTTCTCATAATGGTAAAGCTTTCAACCTAGAAGATATAATAAACTTGATTGAGTAAGGTTCTAGTAAAGAGAGACTTAATTCTGAGACTTATATCAATGAAAATTAAGGTAAACTCAATTAAATTAAGACTAACTAAACTATAGCAAACTCAAGCAATACTAGACAAAAGATTGGAAAATTTGGAACAGGATTTTTAACAACATACATTCTATCTAAGAGAGTTAAAGTCATAGGAGTATTCAAGCATGAATCTGATGATTCTAATCAAGGTGAATCGATACCAGAGTTTCGTGAGTTTGAACTTACACTGAACAGAGATGCAGAACATATTGACTGGATGGTGAGATAAATACAAGAATCTTCTCAAATCTTTAAGGAACTAAGCCATCTCGACACAATATAAGATTATGAAGAAGGAGAAAATCTCGATACTAAATTTATTTATGAGCTTAATGATTAAACAAGAGAGAATGCTGTCAAGGGCTTAGAGGTTTTAAGAAATGCAATGCCATACATTCTTTTATTGAATAGAGCTATCCATTCAATCACTATAGAGAATAAAATTTAGTAATCATGTCAAATTTATGAGGTGTATGCTGATGAACTTAAATCACATTAAAAAACAATAAAAATTGGCAAAAAAGTATTTCCACTTTCCATATTGTAATTCTACATTGATAAAGAAGAGAAATCTGAACTACTTTTAATTGAAGGGGAGAAGTCTTCACTAAGTTGTGAGATTAAATTTGAAGATGGTTATTATGTCATTAAAAAGGATTCTGATATACCATTAGTATTTGTTGACTTTCCTTTATTTGGATTTGATGCTTTGCTAGCATCAATTGTATTTAATTCTAGATAGTTAAAGCCAAATGAGAAAAGGACTGGACTCATTTTAGATCAAGGCACAAAAGGAAAATAAAACAAGGAAATATTTTAAGAGATGGTCAAGCTATATCAAATTCTAATTGATTTTGCATTAATATAAAACTTCATTAGTTTCGAGAACTTGTTCATTTAATCATAGAAAAATATCTTAATCAATAATCAAATCAAGGACTAATTATTTATTCCCTGCATTTAGCATTGTATTGATAAGCAAATAATCAGAACTAATAAAATCAATAAAAGATCAATTGTTGATGATATCTACATTCCCAATATTTGGACTCATACTCAGTTCAGTAAAAAAAAAGAAAATGAGATTGAGTAATTTAATATTCTCTCTGAAATAATTGACTCTTTGAATCAATTTAGCTCAGATCAAATAATTTTAAAGGAAATAAACTATGTTAAAGAGTGTATTGCAGTTTTTAACCATCCAGAATGGTCAAAGAAAATAAACCCCAAAAATAGAATATGTATTGATTAAATAATAGAGTTTATTCATAGTTAGAAATCCTTGAATAATTTAATTCTAAAGAAGAATGATCCATATGATTTTCTCAATAAGGTTTACTCCTATGTTATCAGATTTCTAGATTCTTAATAGTTCACTGAGTATTTTGTAAAAAGATCAATTTTACCAAACAGAGATGGAAACTTTTGCTCAATTTTTTAGCTAAAGTTAGATGACTAAATAGATTAATTTTATCTTGACCTATGCTATCAATATCAATATGATATAAAATAATCTCTAGTTTCAAATAAAATTGAAGTTCCTTTTTCAGAAAGATTTCTAAAGTATTCATTCAAAGAGTTAGAAAATGTAATAATTTCATCTATAGTCAAAGTTCTTTAAAATTCAGGAAGACTATTTAAATAATACTACGGCACATTTCTAAAAATTAAAAAGGCTAAAAAGCCCAAATTCTTATAACTCAATATTTCTCAGAACTAAGATTGTCTAATTTTTTCAAGTCTAGATAAATTAGAGCTATTCTGCTTCAAAATATTAAGCCTTCAAAAAATTGGTGATTTAATAAATGAGGACGATAAGAAATTAAACTAATTTCAAAAGAAACTAATTGAATTAGTAAAGACTACAGTTTTAAAAGATAAAATCTAGCCAATCTAAAATGTAAATTTGATATCACACAATTTGGTAAAAATCTGCTAGGAATTCGTTCTTACTTTGCTTTCAGTTAAAATTAAATCTTGTAGCAATGTTAAATCACTGAGAACTTTGATTAAGTAAAATTCTGAGAGCCCAGTTTAAGACTAGCATGTGTATAACTTCTTATGCAGCTTTTATGAGATTGCCAAGGATAGGTACAAGCTTCTAACTAAAAATGCTATTATCACTCCTAAACTTATTCCTAATGAAATAGGAAACTTCATGAAGGGCTCTTTTCAAGTGAAATAGAGATCAATGCCTATCATTAGTTTTAACATTATTGACTAGGATCCTACAATAATCAATTTAGATGGTATAGAGTAGCTCTATAAATATTATGTTACCTTTACCTAAAATGGAAAAGACCAATATGAGTCCAAAGTTGTGAACAGAAGATTAAACAATTCTTTGATAAAAAGCTATAATTTACTCAATCTTGAAACTCATGTTAGGAGCTAAGCTATCAAAACTCTAAGTGTCAAAGAAATTTGCCAATCATTAGATAATCATATCATTAATACTTGTAACAACAGGCTTTACATCAGACAAAATGAGGAATTTTTCAATAATTTCGAAAATCTTTACTCTTCCACTTTTTCAAGCCAAGAAGAAGAGCATTACTTCCCTTAGTATACAAAGAGGAGACTTGAGATAATAGTGGAATTGAGATAGACTGGTGATGTTACCAAAGCAATGCACAAAATCTTCTGCAACAAGTAGGAATAGCTATTGTTTAATCTTGTAGAAATTGATCCCTGTATAAATACTATTGCCCTTTAGGTCCTTTAACTAATGAGAAAATTTGAGAACTAACCCAAAGTATTTCAAAATTTATTAAAAGAGTTATTGACTGACTACTAGGGTGCTGAAATTGATGTCAATGACATCATCACACTAATTGAGAAGGTTTAATAACTCAAAACTTTGAAGTGGCAGAAGATGAATGGAACTAATTGATACTGAAATAAATAGAGGAAATTCACACATAATCATTAATCATTAAATCTTATTTTTAATTTTCAATAATCTATGTTAAAATCTTTTACTTTTTTATTAGTTCATATACATCTCATTTGGGGTTTTGGGGTTTTGGGGTTTTGGGG